GTTCCACAACGAAGCATTCAGTCAAAGGTTCTTTAACCCTTTAACTGTCACCCCCCATTTGTTTTAAATAGGCATGCAGGTGCACTCTCCAAACTTAAATTGTTGTAATTTATGAACACTTTGGAATACAGACATATGGTTGGTCTCTTTTTAAAAGAAGAAAATCAGCAAATTATCGCAAAAGTGGAATTTTTTCAAAAAATGTATCAAAAAGTTACAGTAGTTTAAATTTACTGTAAAGAAAATGCACTATATTAATTTTATATATAATAAATATTTTACATATCAGGTTTTACTCTAAAATTGGTATAAAATTATAGCCTTATGTCTAAACTTATGTTCCAAATTTGAAGTTGACATGAAAAAAATTGAGGTTCCTGTGAGATTTTATTTAGGGCGTCATACCACAAACAGCCACCCGCTGCCATCCAAAAAATTTTTAATACATTTTTCTGTCACAAATGTCTAGATTTCTCTGTCATTATTACTTTTATCTCAAAATATTAGAATAATAGAATCTTTCACATTGTTCTGTTGTCACACCTGCAACATAAAACGTTAATATCACAGAAATGAAGACGCGGACACAACGGTTTATTGTTTTACAGTACAAAAACAAAAACAAGATTTTATTAAAGAAGCATAAAAAATAAAACTCTTGATACATTTCTTATAACCATCAAGTCAGCTCAAATTATACGTGTATACAATTGTTCCAGCTCACGGTTAAAAGGTCCATAAACTTTCAAATAAAATATATTTAAATTTTAAATTTCTTCAATAATTTTTTCTCAGTTTGTTATAAATTGCCTATATGTTGTACACAGGAAACAGAAATATGGAAAATAAAGATACATTTGCTGTAATAAAAGGGTCACATTATAATCTGGGATATTTATGTCAAGGTAAGCAAATAAATTGTAAAAATAAAATGTGTAAAAAAAAATTTTTTTGTCTTTTCGTTTTTAGAAAATTTTTAGCTAATGCCTCACGGCTTCAAGACATGCAGAGAGTTTAACTTACAAATAATGATACGTGTTTTAAAAACTACATTAACCTTTTCCGTCGTACGTTTGAAAATGAATCCCAATGATTGTATTGAGGATATTTACAATTAGGCCTGAAATTCGGTTATTGAAATCGCTTTTGGTTCTGCGAATGTAAGAACCAAAAGGAATTACAGCGAATGTAAAAGCCAAGCGAGTTTAGGGCGCAAATGAATCATGGGAAAACAGCGTCTGACATCGTTCTAATGCAAAACCGCCTGAGATCGTCCTCAGCAAACCCTGTTTGAGGAAAAAGAAAAGAAAGGAAACCATTCGACTTCAGGCCGATTCTTCACTAGTCACATGACCTTCTTCGCCGATACCAAAACACGTCACAAACACGCACACACAACTGAAAAACTACTAGCTTCTTTCAACCAGTTACACTACTTTTAACGATGTCTGGGGACAAAAAGAAGAAAACGAGCGGCTCAGATTCGACACAGCTCTCTGAACAAATCATTAAAACTGGAAGAGCAGAGAGAGCTAACATCACAATCGTCGTTCCCGGCAGCGAGTTTCACCACCAAGGCACCGCTAGCGCTAGAATCCTGGCACGTTTAATATTCCACACGCCAAAGAAAAGTCTAAACACGTGTCTAGAGAAAGAAACCTTTACAAATCAAAACGCATTCTTGCCCTTTAAGACGTCAGAGTCCCTCGCGTTCAAGGAGAAATGGCTCGTGCATTACTAAAACGTACGGAAGCCCTGGTGATTTAGCTGCCAACGCGGACTAGCATCCCGTTTATTAGGACGACCTGAAGTGTAGTGTGCAACCAGAAGCCCTTTAGAGTTTGAAAGCATGGCTTGTGGCGTAAAAACCGTTCGGGCGGGGCTACAGATTAGTTCGTAGGCAGCGTACGGGGAGCCAAGCGCGATCGTAAACGAAACGCTCTTGCGAGGGCCGGAAGACAGACACAATCTTCATCTAAATACATTTCTGTGTCGCAGTCACGCTCACATTCGAAAGATAATTCAGTATGCGGTTTGATTTGAAAAGTCGTAACAGATAAAAGCTCCTTGGTAAATACTAGCAACCTTGTTTCTGTAGTACAGGAATGAACCGACACGTGAATGTTTTAAGGTAGTGTGGCAAAAGAGAAAATGCATGGTAATGATATTCATAACATGTACTATTCTAGTTATTTCAGATCCAACATCCACTAGCACGTCGCATATCGACTCGTATAAATATTAAGTGTTCGATAATAAAACAGAAATATCTCTCATGTTTTGGTCTAAACGAGCGCAGCTTTCACATTAAAAAAAACGCAAAAATAATTTTAAAAACGACTGCATCGGCAACACGAAAAAAAACGCATTAGAAAAAAGTGCAGCGTAAAAGTTGAAAAATCCGCGAGTAGAAAAAGTCGGAAGCATGAATGGAAAAACAACCCACTGAATATGAACGGCTGAAGATAAGAGTCTGACAAGTACTTGAGTGGGTAATACAGTCACTGTTCTTTTTGTTATTATTATTATTATTACTGTCAATAAATCAGAATAGTGTCATTTCTAATAATTACTCAAGGCAGTCTTTGTTTAAGAGAAGATCCGGATGCACTGCGTGGCAGGAGTGTGGCAAATGGGACACTCGGGATCCTGCGACTGGCAAATCTGCCCAGCGCAATCCATGCAGAAGAGGTTGTGGCCGCATGGGACGAGTGCAGCCGTCACCTCGCTCTCGCAGCACACGAAACAGTCCCGTGACACCATCCCAGCCAGGCCACCCGCTTTGAGGCGTCCCAACATGGTGGATGCGATTCCCACTCCACTGCCGCCGCCTTCTGAATCAGTTGGCGAGCCACCCGGGAGCGACGACGCCGAGCAGGACGAGTATCCGGTGCTGCTGCCGCCGCTGCTACTGCCTCCGGCGCCCGTCTGGAGCCAGGAGAGCGCGCTGAGCGGGTCGCTTTGGGCCCGGCGGGCGACCGGGTGATCCGGGTCGGGTGAGAGGCGCGGGGTTACGGCTCCACCGCTGAGGCCACTGCTGTTGCGACGGACCGGCGGTGGCGGCGGCTGCTTCTGCTGCTTCGCACCGTTCACAAACGGCGCCCATATATTCGCAGCACCAAATTCAAAACCCAAATCCTCTGACGTCGCAGGCAAGTTCGGAGTTGAATCGCCTGCGAAGGAGAAGCTCCCGCCGGCGCTGCTAGTGCTAAACGGGCTCGTGGGGCTTCCGCCGCCGTCTGCCGCCCGTCGAGTCGCCGAGAATGATTCGGACGACATCTTGCGTGTCGAATGGTGCATCTGCGGCGGAGGTGGAGGCGCCGAGTGAGTCGCACGTGACCAAAGTGCGCCGCTCAAACCGAGAGCCCCGAGCCCCTCTAAACTCACATCCGTCCCGTTGTTGTGGAAGTCATTATCGCCTTGGAGGTCGACGAAGGCACCGGTGCGCAGCGTGATGTGCGTTTCGATCTCTTCTCGCGCGCGATCCACGTTCTCAGGCATGCCGGTGACCTCAAATACAGGGTCTTTCTCGCGGCTGGGCGTCACGATGTAGGTGTGCGTCTGCTGCTGGATGCGTTTGATCGTGGCTCCCTTGGGTCCCACCACTAGGCCCACGACGCGGTAGGGAACGCGCACCTGGATAGTGGTCTGTCCTGGGAGGTTGGGAGGGCCGGGAAGCGAGCCGCTCGATCCGGGGCCGTTTGCGCCAGCTTTGCAGCGCGAGGCGCGGATCATGGAGAAGTGCTCGGTCGCCGAGATGATCTCGCGTTTGGCCATTTCCACGTCCTCGCGCCGGCCCGTCACGATGAACACGGGCTCTTCTCCTCTCACGGGGGTTTTGATGTAGGTGTTTGTTTTCGCACGCAAAGCTTTGATCTTGCAACCTGCAAAAAAACAAGAGAAAACATTAAAAATGGTGCGTTCAACAAACTGACAATAAACATTTATTTATTGTAATGCATAGATACAAATAACTACATGCAATGCTTTACAATTGTTAAAATGCATTGCATTTATTGTTTATCATCTCTCGGGATATAATTCATATTAAAACACTCATGCTTATTGTTCTGCTCCACTGCATTGCATTTGTTTATCATCTCTTGGATCACAAAGAATCGTAACCAAAGGCATGCTTTATTATTGTTTATGATGAATATTAAAGTCGAATTACCTTGTCTGCCGACGATCTCGGCCACATGCTCGGACGTGGGCACCGGCACGCACTCGGTCATGTTGACGCTTCTCTTGCGGAGCACCGAGCTTTGTTCCCCGAGGATGGAGGAGTGCGGGCCGGCCATGTGGTATCCGCCGCCGCCTCCCGAGCTGTAGTACTCCGGAGAGGGCGAGCAGGAGCCGGGCGATCCCCCGTTACAGTTCTCACCGGCCGAGGTCCCGTCCAGACAGTCCACCTTCTCCAGCGCCATGAGAGACAGCTGGTCCAGAGCGAAGCGCAGCGCCTCCTGATGGTCCTCGTCCCGGGACTCCTGCTCGGTGACCCCGCCGGACTGTCCGGTGCTGCTCGCAACCATCTCGTGATCCATGATGTCAGGCTGAAACAACGGGCTAGGCATAGTCGAGCCCGCGTGCGCATCAGACAACGAACCCAGCGCGCTTCCTAGAACAAAAGACACAATTAAACAGCTTGAGAAGTGACACAACCCATCTAGCAACGCTCGAAGCGGTCTAAGTGCACACTACAGTGCGCTAAAGCGAGTGTGCGTCTCGTTTAGCGCTCCACGCGTCGCGTCTCTTTTGTCTGTATCGTTTCTGCTGCTCTTTAGCTCCGCGGTGTAGCCTCGGCGCGGGTTTATTTCGTACCAAGCGGTTATTACGCGGAGTTCGCGGCTTGAATCGTGAGTTTAAACGCAGATGTTGGAGCTGAACTGAAGTGTTGTTAGCCGCGCCGCTAGCCGGAGACGATCCGTCACATTGTCGCCTTTGTTTGTGGATCCCAGCCGCGCACCACGCGGACAATCCCGGCGTTAACGGAAACCGGCGGACGAGAAACTCGCACGCACACGCGTTAAATACAGTGGCGGAAGCTCACCTTACGTGTTCCCGTGCCGCGCGTATCTGCTGCTTTCTGAGGGATGAGGGAGATGTGATGGTGGCTAGCCGCTAGCGGAGCTGCTAATTGTTGTTGGGGGGCGTTGGAGGAAAATACTTGTTTTAAAAGCATTCGCGGTCAAAATCAAACCCCGGCGCGCGTTGGAATCACGCGTCCCGCCTCGGCACCGCTCATCGTTTCTCCGGCCGTTTTCACGCGTGGACCGCTAGAGAGAGTATAGAGCGCGTTCCTCCGGTACGCCGTCTTTGTCTGTCTGACTGTGTGCAGCTCGCGCTCTCTCTCTCTCTCTCTCTCTCTCTCTCTCTCTCTCTCTCTC